TATGACATACCACCTTCTCTCCTGGAATGTATCCTAATGGAAAGACATTGCTGGGAAGAGCCAGACAGATACTGAAGATAGCACAGCAGGTGAAGAGAGCAGTGTAAGCAGAGTGCTTTCCTCAGTGTTAACTCAAAATTTTATCTCATGCCTGTGCTGCTCAGCAGATTATTCCAGTTCTTCCTCCTCAGTGAGGGCCGGCCTTATGACTTCTGGTACCCTACCCGGCCTGAGCACCTGCACCCTCCATCCTCTGCCAAGAAGCAGGGCAGCAGCTCTTCAGAGAGGGCTGTGCTCAGGGAGACCAGTGGGGGGAACAGGTAGAAAAGGGAGAGAGATGCAGCCTGTCCGAGCTGTGGGCTGGGAGGCAGAGCAGGAAGTGGAGGATTGGGACCACATGTGCTGGTAGGTGAAGCAGGAGACCAGGGGATTGGGGCCATCAGAATTGGGGGCATGGTCACAGCAGGGAATGGGGACTGGGGGATTTGGTCACCAGGGCTGGAAGTTGGGCTGTGGGATTGGACTGCTGGTAGGGGCGGCCCTGGACTAGCTGCCAGCAACTGGCGCCCTAGGCGAACCATGCAATCGGCGCCCCCACCTCCAAACTCCTCAATGATATTGTGACACCATTTGGCCCCCCATTTAACTTGGCGCCCTAGGTGACCGCCTAGTTCGCCTATATGGACGGGCTGCCCCTGACTGCTGGGGATGAGAAGTGGTCAGAGTCCGGGTGGGAGGTTGAGGGATTCAGCTGCCAGGAGGTGGAGCAGGAGCCGTGGGGCCTGGGGTATTGGGCCTCTGGGGCCGGGAGGTGGAGCAGGGGCCCAGGGTTTTGAGCCACCAGAACCAGAAGGCAGAGGAGAGGGATGGGGGGGCTGAGAAGCAGAGCCGGGGCCAGAGGATTGGGCCGCCTGGGGCAAGAGGTGGAACTGGAGCTGGAAGGTGGGGGTTTGGGCTGGCACAGTTCTTGGACACACTAGGCATATGCAGCATAGGGCACTACTTAATTTGGGGCACAGTGATGTCCCAAATGTAGTGGTGCCCTATGCAACTGTGTATTTTGCATATGCCTAAGGATGGCTCTGTTGATCATCTCCAGTCCCTCCTTTCTTTCCCCCATTCTAGCTAATCCCCTCCTTATATAACCAAACTGGACAAATGCAAATAACCAAACTAACCAACATGATATTTGGGGCCTAGTCCTGGACTCCTGAGCTTATTGCACCATCACATTCATATTATTTGTACGCTCTATGCATTTCCTCTGCTTTGTGTCCATCTTGTCTAGCTAGAAAGTAAGATTATGGGAGCAGGGGCTGTATGTGATTATCCTTAGCACAATGAGGCTCTATTCATGGTTGACTCCCTATAAGCGTTACTTTAGTAAGTATGATGAACAATGAAAAATAATTGATGTCTACAGGCAGCTTCATATACATTTTATGTTTAAAATATAATTTCTCTTTATTTTTTACTTTACAGGTCACAACTTCCCTCCTTTCATTGAGGATTTTGGTGAACTTTGGAGAACTGGATGGTGACATCATAACTTATGCCTAAAATCTAAGATACAGCTTTTCAAATGGCCAATTCATGGGCAGAGGGGATGATCTGTGGGGAAGGTGTTTGGCTAACACTTAGCATTTTATCTATATCATTTAGGGTAGTAATACATGAAGGCTGCATCTAGATTGGCATGATTTTCCGGAAATGCTTTTAATGAAAAAGTTTTCTGTTAAAAGCATTTTCGGAACAAAGCGTCTAGATTGGCATGGATGCTTTTCCACAAAAAAGCTCCGATCACCATTTTCATGATCGTGGCTTTTTTGCGGAAAACAAATCTGAGCTGTCTACACTGGCCCTTTTGCACAAAAGTTTTGCGCAAAAGGGACTTTTGCCTGAACGGGAGCAGAATAGTATTTCCGCAAGAAGCACTGATTTCTTACAGTAGGAAGTCAGTGCTTTTGAGGAAATTCAAGCGGCCAGTGTAGACAGCTGGCAAGTTTTTCCGGAAAAGCGGCCAATTTTCTGGAAAAACTGGCCAGTCTAGACACAGCCAAACCTCACTGGTTCAGGAGCCAAATTAGTGGTCAACATTACCCAAAAGAGCCACAGTAGTGTGAATTCATTGTTTTATTTATTGCTAGCAGATTTACATGGCATTACACTGGCCTTAATTCCGTTTTTTTAAATAAAAGGAAAATATACATGTTTTATTGAAATGATCATATTTTTCAAAAATACAGTGTTATTTTTGTTAAAATATTAGTAAACTTTTTAAAATGGGAATTTCATGAAGTGTATTTTTTTCTTCATTCTTATAAACTCTTATCATTCACTATGTTTTAACAAAAAAGGGCTATAGTCAATTTGGTTTCCAATAACACTGTCTTTTAGTTTTCAAATCTTAAGCATTCATATAGCTGTGCCAAAACAGAACACTACTCCAAATTTCTGTTTTATCTCTTTTCTATACGTTTTTATTGTGTTGCAATTCTATTCCAGGTTCATCCTATTTTTCTGGCTCGTCTTGTTTCAGTCTCTTTCAACAGTCACTCAGTTATGTCAGTTTTGAGAACTGTACTTGATTTGGTGATTGTCTGCTTTATGATAAGCAATCCCATTTTCTGGCACAACCAAACCCTTACTCTGCTTTAAGTTATGTTAAGAGTAAGCTGTCTACTGAATTTGGTGGTCCTAGCTCTTACCATTTAGGAGGGGTTCTTGGTCAGACAAACTCGAAAATATATAGTAAATTGCACTATTACTATTTAAACAGTATGGTGAGGTATTCTTACAGCAAATATATTAATAACTTAGTGCCAATTGATAACTTAATTGGTTAATAATATAGTAAAAGCATCCTGACTGGATAATAATGTTAATATCATGTGCTGCAAAGGGCTGCTGGAGATGCATTAAAGAGGTACTTGTGATTCAGGAGTATCATTGATTAAGGGGCTAGAAAATACCGTAAGTTGTTCAGGTGCCAATTACAAGTTTAGCTGTCTCTATACAGACAGGTAAGTAGAATGCAACTCAGGATCTACTTCACTGTGCAGCTGTTATCCGTGCTTTCTTTAAATAAACCACGTGTTAAAACTTGTCCCCAGCCAAAAATAATAATGATAAACAAGCTTTCTTAAGAACAATAAAAATGTCTTACTTCTGGTTTTTAGCATGTTGCTAACTTACTTGTCTTTTATCTTATTTAAACAAGGTGCATTTTTGCAAGGTTTTTGCTTTGTAACTTTCCTGTGTCTTGCAGTAGTACTATCATTTGCCTGTGAGAAACACAATTTGACATGGAAGTACAAAAGTACTTCTGAAAAGAGAACGGAGAATTCTGAACAGGGAGGTGTGAAACCTAAGTTGAGAAACAAAAGCAGAAACTAATTCAGGATGTGGCAAAAAAAAACCCTATTTTCTTCTTGTTCTGAGGATCACAGATTGCTTTACCAATATTAATTAATTAAATCTTGCAACATGTAAGATAGGTATTATTCTCATTTTGCAAATAGTAGATACTGAGACACACACAGAGAATGACTTGCCAAAGGTCACACGCAAAAGTCTGAGGCAGAACTGAAAATATAATTCAATACTCCTGACTTTCAGTCTTGTGCTTGACCATCCATAATCTAATTTAATAGGGTACTATTCATACAAATACCAAATGACAAACAGTATATATATGAATGGGCCAAGGGGGTAAAAAGTTGGGCCAGATTAAAAGAGAGTAGACAAGCAGTGGTGCCAAAGTTTGGTAACAACATGAGCTGATGGGAAACAGGCTGAGTGAATTGGCTGTGGCAGTCTAGATGTGAAAAATTATGTCACAAAATTCTCTTTCCTAGACATTAAATTTAAAAATGAAACTCTGAAAGTGGCACTGGACCGGATCTTCAGCTCAGCTGCACAGCTGTAAATCTGCACAGCTCCAGTGAGTGAAGTCAATTCAGCTATGCTGCATGACACCAGCATGGATATGCCCTTATTCAGCCACCTTAATTTTATTTCTTTTTTTCTTGTGTTCTGTCAGAACAATCTGCACATTTCAGTATCCAGAGTTTATTTGGAAGAGATACAACTTTTTTCTTAACAAGAATACACACATATGGTCTCTCTAAGGTTATGTTCTGTTAGCCTTGATTACACTAGAGAAATTTCACAAATACTTCCTACTGAAGCTAACAGTGGTAGTAGCAACAGGTCTTGTGTAGACAGGAGGCTTCTAAGCACTGTGTCTACTAAGTTCATGCTGGATTGTCTGATGCGTTGAACCCCAGCATCAGCTATTTATACCAGGGCTTCCAAGTTTGCTTCTGATGTTGGAGCTGAACTAGTGGGTAACAAAATGAAATGTTTACAAGCTTCCCTAGGTAGACAAGGCTACTGCAAGAGAGAAATGTTTGAGCTCAGAATTAGAAATCAGAAACTTCTGCATTTCAATTGCATCTCCAATAACTCGATGGCCTTGAGGATATCAACTTCTGCTTCCATTTTTCCTACTGTAAAAAGGGGCTAACATAACTATGTCAGAGGGTTTCTATATTATCAATGGTTTTCATATAAACGGCATTGCATTTGGCAGCTGCAACTCAGAGGTTTGTACAATTGATGTTGTGTGAGCAACCCTAATGCTCTCAAGGGAGTCATAGGAGAAAAAAATCAGTACATTTCCTTTTAGATACGGATGCTATCTTAACCTTTTAAAATGAGATTTTTACCTTGATTATAACAAGAGAAACGTTTGCAAACATTTCCTGCTGGTAGGAGCAACAGAAGGTCTTGTGTGGATAGGAGGATGGTGTGTGTATAATAAGCACTGTGTCTACTACTAAGTTTATGCTGGATGTTGAAATGTTAGGCCATTAACCTTAGATCAAAGCAAAAGCCTCAGGCTTAAGGCTGGGCAGTTGTCTCAAAGGAGGGGAAGTTACCAGGCTGCTGTGAGGAGTCTCGAGGGTTTATTTTTTGGGGGGGTGAGGAGGGTTTCTGAATGCGGTAGCGGCTCTAAAAATGGGGGACTTTACACGCTGCAAACTCCCCCCTCGGCAGAGCGGGCAACTTCCCCGTTACAGGACTTCTCCTCTGAGGGCGTTTTCCCGCCCTGCCCGGAGAGTGAGGCTGGGGCCACAGCGGCGGCACCTTGGGCAGGACTCAGCCCTCTCCTGCAGCAGCAGCCCGGAAGAGGAAGCGCCGCGGCCGTGTGGAGCGCTCTTGGAAAGCAGAGGTGGAGCGGGCAGCCCGCTGCCGACAGCATCCCGCGGGGCCGCCCGGGCTAGGGGGAGGCGGCGGCAGGTACAGCAGCTGAGGGGGCGGGTGGACTGGGCAGGCGAGAGCGTAGGGCCTGGCTGGAGGGGACTGGGGCGCGCCGGGTGGGCAAGCGGGAGCTGTGCTGGGCTCCGGCGGTGGGGCTGGCTCAGAGGGGGCGGGGGGCTGCTCCCTTGGCTCGTGTGTCTTCATCCGCCCTGGGGCTCACGCGGGAGGGGGTCAGGAGTTTGAGAAACCGGCCCTGCTGCTCTTTCTCTCTCTCAGGACTCCAACCCAGCCTCTTAATGAGTCACGAAAGGCTTTTCCCTTCTGCTGGCAGACCCCCGCCCCGCCAGCTGGGAAACGGGATTTCCTCCTCCCCGCCCCTGACAAATGACTTCCACAAATTGATCTGAGGAAGTGGGTCTGGCCCACGAACGCTCATCACCTAATAAACCATCTTGTTAGTCTTTAAAGTGCTACATCGTCCTGTTTTTTGTTGAGGCACTAAGGGTGAGTTATGGACCAGTCAGCTTCCAAGCCCCTACTCCTCTAATCTGTCTAGGTCATCCTGTACCCCATCCCTGCCCTCCAAGGTATCCACCTCTCTCCCTAGCTTAGTGTCATCCGCAGATTTGCTGAGGGTGCAATCCATCCCTTCATATAAAATATATCGAAAGGATAGAGCAGGCCGGGTGGGTGGCGGAGTGGCACTGTATGTGAAAGATAATGTAGAATCAAATGAAATAAAAATAGTAAGTGAATCAACATGTTCAATAGAATCGCTATGGATAGTAATTCCATGCTCCAATAATAAGAAATTAGCAGTAGGGATATATTACCGACCACCTGACCAGGACAGCGATACTGACATTGAAATGCTGAGGGAGATTAGAGAGGCTACCAAAATAAAGAACTCTATAATAATGGGGGATTTTAATTACCCCCATATTGACTGGATACATGTCACCTCAGGAAGAGAAGCGGAGATAAAATTTCTCAATGGCTTAAATGACTGCTTCTTGGAGCAGCTAGTGCAGGAACCCACAAGGGGAGAGGCAATTCTTGATTTAGTCCTGAGTGGAGTGCAGGATCAGGTCCAGGATATAACCGTTACAGGACCGCTTGGGAATAGTGACCATAATATAATAACATTCAACATTCCTGTGGTGGGAAAAATACCTCAGCAGTCCAAAAAGGGGAATTACACAAAAATGAGGAGGTTAGTTAAACAGAAATTAAAAGGCACAGTGACTAGAGCAAAGTCCCTGAAAGCTGCATGGAAACTTTTTAAAGACACCATAATAGAGGCCCAACTTAAATGTATACCCCAAATTAAAAAACATAGCAAGAGACCTAAAAAAGAGTCACCGTGGCTTAACCACCATGTAAAAGAAGCAGTGAGGGACAAAAAGGTATCTTTTAAGAAGTGGAAGTCCAATCCTAGTGAGATAAATAGAAAGGAACATAAACACTGTCAAATCAAGTGTAAAAATGTAATAAGAAAAGCAAAAAAAGATTTTGAGGAACAGCTAGCCAAAAACTCAAAAAGAAATAACAAAATGTTTTTAAGTACATTAGAAGCAGGAAGCCTGCTAAAAAACCAGTGGGTCCCCTAGATGATCGAGCTATAAAAGGAGCAATCAAGGACAATAAAGCCATTGATGATAAACTAAATGATTTCTTTGCTTCAGTCTTCACGAATGAGGATGTTGGGGAGATTCCTGAATCTGCACCGTCCTTTGTGGGTGATGAATCTGAGGAACTGTCCCGGATTGAAGTGTCATTAGAGGAGGTTTTGGAACAAATAGAAAAACTTAATGTTAACAAATCTCCGGGACCGGATGGCATTCATCCAAGGGTTCTAAAAGAACTCAAATGGGAAATTGCTGAGCTATTATCGGTAGTTTGTAACCTATCCTTTAAATCGGCTTCCATACCTAATGACTGGAAGGTAGC